AAGTTTCTTGTTCGTTCTTCTTGTGATGAGATAGGTATCCAAATACGCGATCTATTAAAAAAAAATATGATTATTAAAAAGTATATAAATTAAGTTTATTTGAATATAGAATTTTCGATTCTATTCTATTCTAATTAAAATTGGCAAGAAGCAGTCTATTTTTGATTGATTTTTAATAGGAACAGGAGAATTGTAGTTTTGTATTTGTTAATCGTACTAGCTTTATCATTGATGAATATAGTTCATATATATTGGTTTCCTTTTTCTTAAAACTCTTATCGTTACACTTTAATTTTTTTATACATTACATTACAATACATATTATTTTGTACATTATGTACTTATGATATATATACATTTATTTATTTATTAAAACTTTAATGCACAGATACACAAATAAAGGTGACTTAACACCAAACTTAATACATATAATAGGATAGTTTTCAGTATTTATGAAATGTTTATACTCCAATCTGTTACTCCAACTTCAAGTTACTTTGTTATTTATATATTTTCTATAATTATCGTTCAGATTTTATTTATATAGTATATTTATATCGAGCGAGGAATCGAACCCAGGATCATCGGAAATAAAACGGTATGCTGCTGCTTAACAACCGGGGCCATTTCAACTACAATAACTACTTATTAAAGTTTCGTTAGACATTGTGCTTATAATGAATCAAATAGATATATTTCTCTATTAACATTGCACTATTTTAATTAATAAGATATAATTAGAAGATTACACTAAATTTAAATACAAATTACAATAGTATAGAATGAATTTCCTCTGTGATTCTATAATATATCTTATTGCGCACTGTATAATTATCATAGCAATGTAATATTTTATATTTATTGTAATATAATGCTGTGATATCTGATTGTGTATATTAATATGAACATATCATTTAATTAACGGTATTCAAACTGCACAGCTGTCTTTTCGCTTATATCTTTTATACTACGCAACGGATTTTAATACAGTTCTCAGCAATAGATATAGCGATTCAATAGAAAGGTTTATATATATAATACATGCCTGTTATAGCATAGAACTAGTAGAGGAATTCAAAGATTAGAAATGCATCCATGCGAAGTCGCTAGTAAACAATAAACTTATCGCGAAATTCTAAAATTTCCAAGCACAGCCGGGATGGATCGCTAGTAAATAATAAAACATATAAATATGTGTATTTTGAAGTCTTCTTTACATATAACAAATATACATTAACGAAAATGAAAAAAAACCGATTGACATAATTTCTAGTGTCTTCTAGATCAAATCAAAATCATTTATTCATGTAGGACATTTCAGCCGTTTATGTACGTCAAATTTTTTGTGTTATTATTTTTTCCCTACCGTCCAGTTCAGTATACTTTGATTCAATTGAGAGGAACTGGCAAGAAACTGAAGTGAATAGAAAAATAATACTGGCAACACTTTTCTATCTCAAATAGAAATAGAACAATGGTTTAGCTTCTGTTACAATGCATTATCTGTGGACATCGTTCGTGCTTGGAGTGTGGATATTATAGGATTAACTATTGTAGTCTATGTAGTTTTATTTATCTTATTTTATAAAATAACTAGCTATGTTCCCCTGGTTCGTACGCCTGATTTGAAGCCCATACCATATTTATTATTTTGACTCTAATGAATGTGCTAGTTGGTAGTTTGTATTCACACATTTCAGCCAAAAAATGTAAAGTTACAACAATCATTAACGCGTAATTTTATCCCCTTTCTTTTGTGATAATACAGCTTTCCGTATGATGAGTAGATTAAAAAATAAATGTAACTATTCAAGTGCTTAAATTTAAGTTTATTTCTATTCGATTCTATAAAACGTTACTGATTATCTGATATCAATTGTATTATATTAAATGATTATCTGTCTTTGCCAAATTGTAAATATCATCATTGCATTTTGTAGTCAAATAAAATTTATTTTCAATGGACCGCTCCTGGCCATTGTTGTTCATTTTTTTACTTTTATTTCATTATTATGTTATGGTCCCGCAATTCATGGTCGTATCGTTCCGCCCGCGTTTATTGCTTGTCCTGAAAAGTGTTAACGTAACAGAGACACGACCACTCCTCTGAACCGATGTGAATTGATAGCAAAATTATTCAATCAAAAACCTACTCAAATATGCAAGCGTTAGAGTGAATTATCGAGGTAAAGTTTTACGAAATTGTGTGCGTTGGAAACTCTCAACTATCAGCAATTTCAGCCGAAGGGTGAAGCTAGAAGGATGTGATGTTGCTGAATGTGGAGACATGCTATCTTAGTTCGGAATAGCAACGTGTGAGCAGTATTGTTGGCATTAAGATCACTATCTTCTACTTCGCTTATATCAAAAAACGGATAACTCACTGAGTTATCCGTTTTTTGATATAAGCGAAGTTTACCATTACATAAAGAATAATAGATATAGTTAATAGAATCTGATATAGCATAAAAATTTGATAGTGCGGTATTGTAATACAATGTTACGTTATATAATAACTCTGTATAATTCATACAGCGCCATCTAATCCTAAGCTAGGCAGAGCTTGTTAGCCAGACAGACAGTTAGACATCATATATTTAGTAGATACATTTATGTAAACACATACATAATATACATAGAAAACATACAGACCTATACAAATAATCATACCCATGAATGTTTGTACCGTGCGAGGAATCGAAACTGCGACTAGCGGAGATAAAGTGATGTGCTTAACTGCTAAACAATCGAGGCCGTTAAATATATTTGTAATGATCGTAGCATTTATATCTATAGGCGGTTACTTGCCACCAGGTAAGTCCTTAGCTTGTTAGCCATTCTATTTACGTTGAAAGAAAATTCCGTACCGGTCCGTTTTAATAAGAGCGACACGGTGAGCGAGCAATATTTTTGTGTTTATCTCATTTTTATGAGTTTAAGTAGAAAGCGTGAGGTGGTGCGCGAGATAGGTATTTAATTGACGCCGAGGCGGCGGAGCATGGGGAGGGTGTGTGGCCGCAACCGCCCGCCTAGGGCGCGGACAGACTGCGGGGGAAGCGAAATAATAAAAAAAGCCGCACAGCTATCCCCGCGAGCACGGATGCTGTGAAAGTGGCACGCTGTGGATAAATGAAGGTTTTTTTTGTGGAATACGCCTAAGCTTGGCGTCGCTCCACTTTCGTATTGTCGCTTGAATTCTATGGATGTTAGTTCATTCATAGGGTCGAGTGCAACGCCAGCGTCATTAAATTTATGTCGCCTTTAAACGTTTTATCCACAAATTATCATATAGTACGGTTTACTCGGTACACTACATGAACAACGTGCCGACATGCTTATTCAAGTTAAACGAACAGAAACAAAATAAAATTAATTTCACTTCATATTTATTTACGAGGTCTCTTTGAATCGGGGGCGAGAAGTATTAAGTCAACAACGAACTCAACAATAGAGCGAGAGTTTTCGTCGGGAGTAGCCGGAACATTATGGGAAATGTAACTATATTCTGTACACTTTAAGACACAGAATTCATTGTAGGTTGTAGCTGTGAGGGTTGCAGCCCGTCACTTCTGCGATTTAAGTGACAGTTTTATTAATTTCCCATAGTAGTTGTTCCCGTTCTCCACCCTCAGCTTGTGTACGAGAGGAGCTGCATTGGCGGCATATGGAGACGGCATTTGAACGTTTTGTATTTTAAGTGTTATGAAATTCTAAACAGCACTGAACACATTATTATCTAGTTTATTGTTACTACTAAAATAGACTACTGGGTTTACAATAAGTGTTTTTTCATAATGTTGAAGTAGGTCCTTGTTTTAAACATTTTATTCTAGATAATTAATTATGATTATAATACCTTCACTTTTATAGCAATAGTAATCATTAAGTGCATTGCGTGTTTTAACATTTAAAATTACGTTATTTTTAATGCATTCTTTTCTTAAGTATTATGATACATCTAGTATTTTATCCATAAAAGAGTGTAAAATAAACAAAGAAGTCTTTAAACATTAAAAGCAGAATTTTGTGTAATCTGAATAATTGAGTACCATATCACAGGAACATAAACGATCAATATTGATTAAACCATAAAACGGAATAAGGTATTAACTAAAACAAACCAAGCACTAAGCTTAATAGAAATGTGATACAGGGGCTGCATCCTAATAAAGATAGGACAATTCAAATAACGGCGCGTGGTCCGCCAACAAATGCGTACGTCGCTTTCTCAGATAAGCCGGAGCTTAGCGCCGGCACAGCAGTGGATGTTTTATCTCGATTTCAATTATTATGCTGGCTCTTTCATTGGCTCTGTGAGGCGATCACCGGAGCGGACGCGCCAGGATTGGGGCGGTCTCGATCCCCCGTTATCTAAAATCTTGCCGAAATCAGACTTTACCATTTACGCTTGATCGTTCTTTTAAACGTGAACGTTCCGCTAGAGATGGGCTGCGACGTGTCACTGAAAAATAGAATGTCCATTAAATGTACAATTCGAATGGGAATTACCATCTGTGTAGTATCCCACAGTATCTAGCAAACTGTGGTAATGAATTCAGTTGATTAGATCACAGTTGTAGCAATAATTTGAGAATTATCACTTCAATTGCTATCTGCTTTAGTATTTAAATGTTGGGAAAATTGAAGAATAACATATAAACGTTATAACAAAATGCGCTCATAAAATTAATAAATTTTAATTAAGACTTACAATTTATAGGACTTAAATTTACTTTAAGGTTTTCCGTGTACGTAATAAAAGAATGGATTGCTTTTTGCGATAATAAGAGATATCTTTATGCGTTTTTAGTCTGATTTGATTAAAAAGTCTTGCTTTCCAATTCTTTGATGCCTTGTAAACGATGAAGTTCAACTTGTAATTTAAGTCTCGTCCTAATTACACTGCCCTAATTGTCGATTATTATGAAGTAATTAATAACACATCTGTCCTAATTACGATTTAGTGTTTCATTATAGTAATATTTATTTATTCCCACCAGGTATGGAATGGACCTCAATGGAGCTAGGAGAAAAAACGCCACCCGGGAGACGACCAGCACTCTTAAAGCGTGGCTCAATGAACACAAGAAGAATCCTTACCCAACGAAAGGAGAAAAGATAATGCTCGCGATTATAACGAAGATGACCTTGACACAAGTATCGACATGGTTTGCGAACGCACGCCGTCGTCTTAAGAAGGAGAACAAAATGACATGGGAACCAAGAAACAGGGTCGATGATGATGACAATAATAATGATGACGACGATCACAAAAGTAACGATGGAAAGGATGCATTAGGTAACTATTTATGTCTCATACAAGAAAATTTTATCGGCTCCTAAATTTCTAATGTTAATTTTGTTTCAGATTATATCGATGGTCTAAACATTGTTATGTATGTATTGTTTCAGACGGTAAAGATTCCGGAACTGGTTCTAGTGAGGACGGTGATAGACCACAACAAAGGTTAGACCTATTAGGCCAAAGAACGGAATCAGAATGGTCTGAATCCCGAGCTGATAGCGGGCCCGAGTCACCTGAACCTTACGAGAGGCCAATTCATCCAGCTTACCAGCATTTACCTTCAAGAGCCCCACCGGGCAGCACCCCAGCTTCAGCAAAGCCGAGAATATGGTCTCTAGCGGACATGGCGAGTAAAGACGGCGAAGCGCCGGCGCCACCTTCTTCCGCATCTGCGTTTTACCAGTCAGCAGCTGCTGCAGCGGCCGCTCGTCTCGCACACCCTTACGGCCGGCCCGAATTGTACCGAGGTCTATACCCTCCGACTCATCCAGCAGATGTCGCGCTTCTGGAGTATTCCCGCTCGCTGGCACTGGCTGCACCGGCGCCCGCTCCTCCTGCACCGTCGCCGTCCTCGTCGTCAACATCCTCGCTGGCGGAGCCGCCACCTCCCCCCCGCGCCTGACCACCAGCCCCCCGCCCGCCGCTGGCGCATCGACAATAACCGCGATCTCGCCCCACGAGTGCCACGAGGGCCTTCTCACCTGTAAATACCGTTTAAAGACTAAATTATAAATATGTATACATACGTATATATATACGTGATAATAATTATTATGCACCGGTAGAGAAGCGTAGATTTGTGATAGTGGACACAGCGCCCGCCGCGCCGTGAGGTTGACAACTCGCAAACGACGTCGGCACTGCGACGCCGGACAACGGTGCATGCCGACCGACCGACAATACTAGGTGCTAAACAAGTTGGACCTTGCGACATGTTGCTGTAGTTATTATTGGAGGTGGTTAATCGAGGTGATTTAATTGAAAAATAGGTATTAATATGTGTTACGTTTCTAATAGACAAACACTGTTCTAGACTATTATTTGTATGTAGAGTGTAAATTATTATTTTGAAAATATTCTCCTCATATTTAGTGCCTAATTACGTCCAGTGTTTTTTCCATTGTTTGATAGTTTCATTAAAAAAAAATTATCTAACATTCGAATTCTAATATTTATTGATACGAGGTCAGTAGTTGTAACGATCTATTATAATAAGTTATCTACAAATTATTCAGTACACATTTGTTGAGGATTTTGTGAAATCTGTATAAAATAATTTCTAGTCACAAGACTATGATTGTCTATATTATACATTAATGAAATTACAATAATTACATTTCATTTGTTATTGGAATCGTGTACATTATATATAGTTAATTAGTGATTCGAGTAATAGGGCTGGCACGAATGAGGTTTCACGTCGATGTGTACCTTAGATCTCAAATAAACTATTACAGGCAATCTGCTTAGTTGTAAGAAGCTAAATTATATACTAATAGATATTTTATATTTGAAATAAAATATTATTTGTATTTAATTTTTATTTTAGTATAATTTTGTTATCATAAAAGTCCTGGTATATTTTGGTAAACATTCATTCCATACATTGTCGGCAATGTGGGACCAACGAGACTTAAACTTAGGACTGTATTGAGAACGTCTTAAACTGAGACCAGTATGACATTTTACATTGGGACATTATCGGTAATCTAAATATTTCAAAAGTATTTAATATATTGACGAAAAGTCTGAGCTTACTTTACATCATTTTATATATTTTATTTTAGGTGATAATATCAGTAAAATATTTCTTTTTTTTATATAGAAAATATATCTATATATAAAGTAATAATACTCAAAATATATAAGTATAAGTATCAAAAATTTTATATACAACCTCTGGCCGTGATGGCTAGTTGAAGTGAATCGTGTCAGCCCTACCTTATAAGATACATACAGTTCGAAACATTTGCCTAAGACTCATCTCTCCGAAAGTAATTTGAAATAACTTAAGTCTCAAATGGCCTTGTACAATCGTAAAAGTTATATTCACAATTTGTTTCTGAACACTTACTTTTAATTTCCAACATTATATGTAGAGACTGAAAGTCCAAAATTGAGTCTATAGTTTTGTATATACATCACTGTTGTAAGTATATATATTATAATATTAACGTGAATATTTAAGAGAGGTAAATGCAATAAATTTTCTGTATTAGCAGTCCTTTGGTGTAAATAAATTTTGATGCGAGAGGAGATACGTTCTAAGTAGCTATTTAAACAACGAATAACAGTTTCCTTACGCGAGAAATCTGTTAATGGAGTTACGTTACGTTCAAAACAACTAAGTATTTTTTGTTTGTATTTAAATTAATTAAAATTAACTCCTAATCAAGTATAAATATTGAAGTTCTGTAACGAACCTTCGTCTTACGGTCTACATATAAAGTTACTATTTTAATACTTATAATTCCGATTATTTATTTGAATTATATTCTCATTTGGTAGTTTCAAATGTTTTAAATTGAACCCCATGAAGGTGTGTGAATAGATGCAATAAAATTTAATACAGAAGTAATTATTTTGTAATTTTATTTCCATTATCCTTTACCAATTTCATTTAATGATATTTTGGAATTAATGATATCTTCATTTAATGATATTTTGAATTATATATGCTCAAATGGATGGAGGTAGTCAATATGCGCAACGCAATTTTATACTTCTAGAGTCCTCATATAGTCGTCCTCCTCCTTCATAGAGTCCTCAGTAAATTGGTACACTTGTTACTGTTTTAAATATATCATTACATAGTATAAAACAAAGTCGCTGTCTCTGTCTGTACCAATGTATGCTTATATCTTTAAAACTACACAAAGGATTTTGGAAGCGGTTTTTTTAAATAATTTTATTTCCGTTACCTTTACCAATTTCATTTAATGATATTTTGGAATTAATGATATCTTCATTTAATGATATTTTGAATTATATATACTCAAATGGATGGAGGTAGTTAATATGCGCAACGCAATTTTGTACTTCTGTGGATGTCATAGAGTCCTCAGTAAATTGGTACACTTGTTAAATACATCATTACATATTATAAAACAAAGTCGCTGTCTCTGTCTGTACCAATGTATGCTTATATCTTTAAAACTACACAAAGGATTTTGGAAGCGGTTTTTTTAAATAATTTTATTTCCGTTACCTTTACCAATTTCATTTAATGATATTTTGGAATTAATGATATCTTCATTTAATGATATTTTGAATTATATAAACTCGATTGAGGTCGTCAATATGCGCAACGCAGTTTTATACTTCTGTGGATGTCATAGAGTCCTCAGTAAATTGGTATACTTGTTACTGTTAAATATATCATTACATAGTATAAAACAAAGTCGCTGTCTCTGTCTGTACCAATGTATGCTTATATCTTTAAAACTACACAACGTATTTTGGAAGCGGTTTTTTTTAATAGATACAGTGATTCAAGAGGAAGGTTTATATGTATAATACATATACACCTGTGCGAAGCCGGGGTGGGTAGCTATTAAAAAAAAAAACAAAAAGATTATTAATAATAACAGAACAACCTGAACAACTCACACAGCGCCATCTAGTCCCAAACAAAGTAGAACCTGTGTTTTGGGTACCAGACACCTGATATATTTTTGTGTAAATACATACATAATATACATAGATAACATCCAGAGTGATACCAACAATCATACTTCGAAATAGAAATGTTTGTACTGCGAGGAATGAAACCCACGATCATCCAGTAAGGCAGTGTACTAAACCGCTAGACTACCGAGGTCGTCATAAGAGAATAATAAAGCGCTGACTGAGCTAAAGTGAAGTTTGTATCTGTACAAACAATTATAGTAAACTAGTTGTGCCCGCATAAACTTTATAGCCTAATTGTTATTCTGATGTAAAGTTGAAACAAATTCCGATCAGTAATTTCTGCGTGGAACTACTGATCGGAATTTGTTTCAACTTTACATCACATATATTTAACATACATATATATCTCTTTCATTTATAATGTTAATAATAATTATTATTAAGATTATAAATGCGCCGACAGCCTCGGTGGTCTAGTGGTTTAGCATAACGCTTTACTATCCGATGTCCGCGGGTTCGATTCCTCGCACGGTACAAACATTTATATTTATGAGTATGATTGTTTGTATTTACAAAAAAATGTGTTTCCATGAATGTATATCAGTACCCATAATACAAGCTCTGCTTAGCTTGGGACTAGATGGCACTGTGTGAATTGTCCTGAAGAAAAATTAATAAGATGTAACTTAACAAAAAATTATTAATTATAATAAGATGTATACAACAACAAAATTTAACAAGAAATAAAATTTTAATAAGTACAAGTAAAGATATTAAATAAATTAAAGATTATCAGCATACGATAATTATTTAAACGTAATCATGCCATCACGTCATCATGTCATCATCAGAACTTTTAAGATGTAGGCAAAGAGAGATAACTGGAATCAATCTTAAACGCACCTCTTTCTTTATTCATAGTTTATCTATATTATAGTATATACATGTATATGTATATACTATATATAGTAGCGGGAAACATTTTGCTTAAATTGCTTAATATAAATTAAACTTGCTATTATAGGTGTTGATGGTGAAAATTTAGGTTTTATTTTTATAAACCGAGAAAAAAAATTGTGCACAAAATAAAACATAAACGAGTGGACAACTCTTATCACTTAGGGCTATAAAACATAGATAGTAGTCGATTCTCTGACCTATAATGCATAAAAAATTCATAAAAATCGGTCAAGCCATTTCGGAGGAGTATGGTTACTAACATTGTGACACGAGAATTTTATATAATATATATATATATATATATATATACATATAATATTATTAGGCTAACCATATATTCAACGACAAATGAACTATCCAACACAACAAATTTTTCATTTAAATTAACGCAAACTCAAACAAAATTTCAAATTCAAACAAACAGACCTTCAGCTTTATGATATTGCTATAGATTCATATCTAGTATGTCATATATTAATCTATATCCAAGAAAACCATTTAATATCCATTCGGCCTTGTTAATCGGATGAACAGTCAGACAGATGTGTTATCGGAATCATTCAAGCAAATTACAGGGTACAGGTAGAAGATTGTATGATTGTATCGAATAGCGTATCCTCCATACACAAATAATTCAAATTCAAAATATCTTTATTCATGTAGGTCTATTACAGACTCTTATGATATGTCAAATCTACCGTCAGTTCGGAATGATTTCGAGATGAGAAGAACTGAGAAGAATTTCAGCTTGTATTGTTTTCAAATAAATGTTATACATTTTTAAATTCAAATTTGGAGAATAGAGCGAGATAATGTGTTGATGGTCGTCACCATTTTCGTATAATATCGAGATGAGAAGAAACTCAGCTCGTATTCATTTCAAATAAATGTTATACATGTTTACAATAATACAGATTCATTTTTAAATTCAAATTTGGAGAATAGAGCGAGATAATGTGTTGATGGTCGTTACCATTTTCGTATGATATCGAGATGAGAAGAACTGAGAAGAATTTCAGCTTGTATTGTTTTCAAATAAATGTTATACATTTTTAAATTCAAATTTGGAGAATAGAGCGAGATAATGTGTTGATGGTCGCCACCATTTTCGTATGATATCGAGATGAGAAGAACTGAGAAGAAACTCAGCTCGTATTCATTTCAAATAAATGTTATACATGTTTACAATAATACAGATTCATTTTTAAATTCAAATTTGGAGAATAGAGCGAGATAATGTGTTGATGGTCGGCACCATTTTCGTATGATATCGAGATGAGAAGAAACTCAGCTCGTATTCTTTTTAAACAAATATTGTACATGTTTATAATAATACAGTTTCAATTAAATTCAAATTTGGGAGAATAGAGTGACCACCAGCATGTGTTATTGCAAGCAAAATGTCTAATCACTGTTTGTAACCTGAACAAATCAGTCCCCAATTCTCTCTACTCATATTATAAACTAACTGTAACCCACAACTTCGGTTACGATTTAACTTCTTTTTTATTATAATACATTTTCCTAAATAAAACTAGCCTATAGTATCACTAGCTACTCGCACGGGTGTACATGTATTATATATATAAACCTTCCTCTTGAATCACTTTATCTATTAAAAAAACCGCTTTAAAATCCGTTGCGTAGTTTTAAAGATTTAAGCATACATAGGGACGGATAGACAACGATAGCGACTTTGTTTTATACTATGTAATGATAGCATAGCGAGAACATTGTAATTCCCGTCAAAATCTGTCCAGCCTTTTCACAGATTAGCCAGTACAAAAATGATAGTCGGACGAATTTTTTTTTTAATATTAGAACAATATATATTCTATATACAATATAGTATATACTCTTATATAGATTTAGTTAGTACTCGTATTATAGAATTTATAGAGGTGATTATTAAGTAATACTAAAACCGCAAATGAACTCACTTAAACTTATATCTAGGCTTTTGAACCAAGAATATATATAACGGAAGTGGAGCTTATACGTTTGTCCGTCCGTCTATAGAATCGTATATCAGAAACTACTCTGCAGTTGCTTTTATATTCGGAATAGATTTTTTATAGGTTATCTCAATAATATATAAACGCGAAAGTTTGTGAGTACGGATGTTTGTTACTGTTTCACGCTGCAACTAATGAACGGATTTTGATGGATCTTTATTATGCATCAGAATAACACATTGGCTATATTTTATATTGAAATTTAACAAGGAAGAATCCGCTCATGACAGACAGACAGACTCATGCGTTGCCAATCTGACAGACTAAGCTGTTTTCTTCTTATCTTCTTAATTTCTTATTTTTATGAGATTTAATATTCTTATATATATAGATCTTATTCTTCTTACTTCTTCTTGTTCTAAAAAATAATTAAATTAATAAAATTGGAGTGTCTTTTTGTAATATTGAAGTAACCGTTTGTTACTACATGCATATGGATAT